CGTGTGGGACCAGATACTGTTACGGACCCTGCATTTCTTGTCACGAGGAACATGGAAGACTTCATAACATGGGTAGATACATCAAAGATAAGGAGGAAGGTCTTGGAGTACAATGACAAGTTGGATGACTATGACGCCATGAACTAATGGTTTTTACCCTCGCTACCACATTTTGTGCCCTATATCGATCTTGAACAACATTTCATTGAGAAATATGTTTGTGTTTGAATTATTATGGTATGTTCTTTGTTTTCTTGGTTATGTCTTTTGCTTTTGTGTTAAATAGACTACATTACCAATGACCAGTAGTCTTCCTTTGGAAATTATTTTTCAAGCCTGCTCTGATATTTGTTGTTGACCATTCGTGTTTAGGAAGTTAACCATTAAATTCTTTAAACGAAGTCTGTTCACGTGAAATAGACTTTTTATTGAGAGCTTAAGTTTGCAGACCTGCCCTCTTGTGCACACGATAGGCACTGCTAAATATATCTATTTGCTGTGGTAGGAGATTAATGGACTATACTTAGAGGGTAGTTGGTTTGAGTGTTGTTGAGTTTCTTATATGTGGTGAGTGAACACATTTTACTGTGGTCTGTGGTTGGCTGAGTGTTTTTCTTTAAGTTTGATTTAGTAGCCTGTTTGTTGGCCTTGATATCATCGTTTCTCAAATTTATCCTGGGAGAAAAAATTAAAACTAAAAATAAACAAGATAGGAATATGTTGCAGCTCAGGAATTCTGTTGACAATCCTTCAAAATATATGTAGAATGCAGTGAAGAAATTAAATCGAACAAGAAAAATACTACAAACACTCGAATACCCACAACTGACCGAAGTAGATCACTTTATTAGGAGTATGACTTACACACGTGATTGATAGTAGCAGTAAATAACAACATCAAGAGGAGCTTGTTTTACGGAGATGAAGAAACCCCAGCTGGCGGAACCCCGGGCCCTGGAAATCTGGGAAAGGGTGGTAGAGGGAATGGAAACACGGGTGGTGGAGGTGGCGGTGGTGATGGCGTAAGGACCGGAATTGGCGGCAGCTGAAAAAATGGTGGCGAAGGCGGTGTAGGGAATATAGGCGGAAAAACTGAAGGTGGTGGTGTTGGAAAGACTGGTGGGATCACGGAAGGCGGTGGCTGGAAAGGGTTTGGCGGGAAAATGCTCGGGGGATTGAATGGGAACGGAAAAGATTCGGGTTGATTTACTCGATTATTGTCCGATAGTTCTGTTTTAAGCTTTTTCGGGGGCAGAAATGGGATTCGAGGGAGGGGTGGCAGCTGGGGGAGCTCCGGCAGTGGCGGGAGGAGGCTGCCGGTGGCCGGAGGGTCGTTGTAAGGCGCTGGGTCTTGAATCGGAGGTAAGAAAGTAGGGTCGTTAGGGTTTGAAATTGGTGACATTTTATTTTGGTTGGTATGGATGCTTGGCTTCTGGTCACAAACTGCAGGCTGGTTAAAAGGCTTGAATGTGAAGAAGCCTGCCGAGTAAATGTGGGTTCCGTGTTTTCGTGTTTTGAGATGGAGGGTGGACGAGGTGGTGGCGCTGGCTGCTATGGAGCAGTATGGTTTGTTGCTGCTGATGAGTTTCACAGTGCAGGCTTTGATTTTCTTGACATGCTTGCTGACAGGGAAAGGGAGTTTGACTTTGAACTGCCCGTGGATGTCTGTTTTCACTTGCTGTCTGAAGCTTGGGTTTGAGCTTTTGCCCTTGCATTCCACTGCAACAGATGCACCTGTTTGGGACAAAAAAGGATATTTGGATTGAAACCTCTCAACATGAGAGATTTGGGTAATTTTTCTGACTATGTATAATTTTCGAGCTTATAGCTTATGACTTATAGCTGAAAATTTAGCTTATATGATAAATGTTTTTGGTAAAATAGCTGATAAGCTAGATGAAATAAAAAATTTAACTAGTTTATTTGAAAATTTACCTAAAGTAGCTTATGTGATAAGCTCGAGTTTTTTTAAAAAAGCTTGTCCTACCAAAACGAGACTTATTTAAATACATGAAGTTTATAAGCTAACCAAATAAGCTATAAGCTAGTTTATTTGGTTATCACACTTTGAAAAATTATTGATCCTAGTTATAAGTAGAAATGATAAGAGACTTAAATTTAAGTTTAGTACAAACAGATTGTATATGAATATGCTTGTGTCCTTAAACATGATTTGGCTACAAAATACCTTGGATGAAGTGGATGATGGCCTTAGGTATATTCTGCTGAAAGCATGTGTCACAAAACACGGTGCCAACAACCACAGCCGATGATGGCTTCTTGTGATGTTTAGCCTCCGTACCGTTACTGCTAAACGCAAAAGCGAGAAATAATATCGTCCAAAACCAAGACATCGTGGTGACAAACTCCGGTGACCGAAAAGAGGAAAACAGATGAAAGAAAGACAAAAAGATGCACACTTTTAAGTTATCGACTGTGTTTTTTTTCCTGAAGTATGAAAACGAGCAGGCACACAAGTGAAAACTTTTGCGAGTCCGGCTGATGGTTCTGTTTATTTTTGTGTCGACACACCCAACATTTTTATAGTAGGTAAGAAGTGCTAAAGGCTCTTCTTAATGTTGTTCATGGAGAAACAAGTGAACTGCAAACCAGCAGCATTATTTAAAAGAAAAGACATGTAACTTTAGGAATGGAGAATCACAAGAAAGGAAATAATTCATTAAAATATGAGAAAAAAAATACAGCTTTATATTTTTAAATTGTCCTTTTCTCTATGTTGTTTGTTTTCTTCTTATTTTGGTTTTATTTTATTTTTTTTTTTTAATTGGGGGGTTGAGGATTGAGGGGCCCAGTTGGTTCACGGGGCTCTTATCGCTGCCACATAAAAATCACAGACTTATTTTCACCTATATTTTGAAGCCATAACTGAATTAGATAAAGTTGCCAATTTGCATGGTTATCCCATCCAAAACATGCCTAAATGTACTGCCATGCCAGCTTTGGTTGCATGTCACTTGTGACAAACATTGGTCATAAAATCTTGACCTTGTGTGGAATTGATAAACGAAGCTCAATCTTTTTAATGTTGCAACTAAATACTCTACATTTTTTATTTGTTGCAAATTTATCTCCAAACCCTTTCCGGCCAACTCCAAAATGACATGTCCGACCAAAATGCATATTTGGCTTTTATGTGTTAAAAATTAAGTCTCAAATTTCCACATCGTCGCCGAAAAAAAACAAACTGTAACGCCCCGTTCGATTTATAGAACTTCTCGGGATATTCTATTTATCGAATACTATTTATAAGGTTATATGTATTTTATTAGTCGTGATGTCGGCTTAAATAAGAGGTTGGAGTAATCGATCGTTTTATTGAAAAACATTCGTCGATAGTCGATTTCGGTTTAATCGCGTGATTCGAGTTTGAGCTGTTCGTTTATGAATCATAGTTGGGAGTTTTATTTTTTTTTATTTCATTAATATTATTATTATAGTAATTATTAAATGCTTAATTGATATTAATTGTAAAATGCTTATTAATAGTATAAATAAATATTAGTTGTCTAAATGATTATTTATTAATAAAATATTATTATGTATTATTGTGTGTGTATATATATATATATATATATATGTATATATAGAAGTGCGCTCAAATGAGAAATGAACACAATGAAAGAAATGAGAATAAATTTGAACCATTGAATATATCATATCAATGAATATAATTAAGTCAAAACTTAATGTCAATATGGTAAATAAATATACAAACAGACGATACACTCTCTTCCACACTTAGTTACACACACAAATCACACACACACGGCAGGGGGCCACTATCCTCGCCGGCCGCCGCCG